CCTCCTTTTTGCAAAAGCATTGCTCTTTTATACTTGATAAAAAGTAATTAGAGTTTTGATATTTAAGGTTTTTTTTTTGAAAACTGTGCTACAGTAGTTACAATACCAAAAATAGAATTGTCGTGCCTGTTATAGATTTCTTAAATAGGAATAATATAAAATGTATAAGTGTTTTTTTTTGTTAAATTTATCCTCTCTTTATTTTCATTGAAATCAATCTCTATTTATATTCTTTTACAAGTGTTCTTCTTAATACTAATTATTATGTTTTCTGAGTCATCATGAGGTTATATACTTGAGTGCTTATGATGAGTCATTTCTTGTAATTGACATGTATTGTAAAAAGGTTAGGTTTGGGTAAAGGCTTGAATGTAATTTGAGTTATATAAGAGTTTTTGTCGCGTGACCACCAGATCTTAATAGATCAAAAGAGATAACTTGAGTTATATAAAAATAAAAGTAAAGATAAAAGTGAATTCTACTGATACGAGGCTTCAGGATAAGCGTATCGGTAGTTAAGAGTGTTAAAAGAAAAGTAAAAGTATAGAAGAGTAATAAAAAGATACTCTAAAATACAAAATGTATTAGAAAGTAAAAGTTGATAACTAACAGTTAACTAACAGATAACTAACTTTTTTTATTTAAAAATATTGAATGTATTTATACTAAAATAATTTATAATTCATTTGTTTGAACTTCATGAGGAACATGAACTTCATACAAGTCGTGAAGTTCGTCTGCCTCATGAAGTTCGTGAGGGTCACGAAGTTCATCCGTTTCAACTCCGCTATTGTTACAGTATAACTACTAAAAAGGATCAACAGCGTAACTTGGCTAAAATTGAAATAAGTTGTACAAAATATACGATAGAATCAAAAGATATTACAATGACAACATACAAAAGAAATGAATTGCGTCCTCGGGGAATCGAACCCCGGCCTTCACCTTGGAAGGGTGAAATTCTACCATTAAACTAAGAACGCCTCTACGTTTTGTTACGGGTTACAATTGTTTAGTTGGTTCGCCGTAAAATTCTCTACACTGGACCTTGTTGAGTGTTTTCGGGATCGAACTTTGAACGTGAATAACTCTATCAATTCTTTATGAAAAAGCGCCAGAAAAAGCTTAAACGATACCTCAGATAAATATCTACAAGTGCATATAAAAAAGCTTAGAGTTTGTTTGATATCTTTTCTTTTTTCTTGATTTTAATTTTTTAGCATAAAAATTTAATATACACTATAAAAATCTATTTTTCTTCAGAAACTAACGCAACAGCTACATCCAGCATAAAAATTAAAGTATATAACCATTTTAAACTGCTCAGTTATCTATGCTTTTCATGAAGAAAATGCAAAAAGTAAACAATAGTTGTGTTTTGACATGGTACAAGCTATCTAAATTTAGAAGGTGGTGTTGTATTCATACTTAGTGGATCAACTATTAACCACATATGAAACAATAACTGGCAATTATTCGACTTCAGCTTGTTACTTTGAAACAACTGTGCGGATCATTATTTAAG